AGGGTGGGGCTCCGATCTGATGGGGTTTGTGTCCTTGTGGGAGGAGAAGGTGACATCAGAAAATGCTCTCCCCCCACACAGAGGAAAGGCCTTGGGAGGACATGGCGAGAAGGTGGCTGTCTGTACACCACGAAGAGAACTCTTACCAGAAACCGAGTTTGCCAGAACCTGGATCACAGACTGACCACGGCCTCCAGGAACTGTGAGAACATAAACGTCCACTGTGAGCCCCAGTCTGCCGTGCTCCGCGATAGCAGGCCAAGGCAGTCCCCGTAAGGGACTCTCAGGACGCACGGTTCAGTGAATGGGATCGAGAACATGGAGCTGGAGGTGGCCTTGAATGCATTTTAAAAACCTGGCTCAGGATAGCTTTGTGTGTGAGGGACTCAGGAGCAGGACTAGGAGACAAAGGTCAGGGCCCGCGAAGAGGGGGACGCGGATACGAGACCCCTGTAAAGAGCCGAACCAGTCCAAGCTGCACCCAAAGAATCGGGAATGAGGATAAAGCTGTGTCCTCATCACCTGCCACTGCCACCCTTGGGGCGGATCTGAAGGTGACCATTTCCTTGATGCTGATGGACAGGAAACACAACCGTCCGAGGACACATGACTGCAAGTTGGCCTTCCCGTGGGTTTGCAGCCTTGACAGCACCCTACTTGGATGGTTTGAGGCCTTCGTCCGGAGTACTTGGTGCAAAGAGGTTCCCAGCTGCTGAGTGCCCAGGCACTAGGCGGGAGTATATATGACTCCTGTGTGGATGCAACTACCTTCCACTCAGGTCTCGAAGAACTCCCAGAGACAAGGCTTACCCTCTAACCACACAGCCAGGCTTCAGGCCACAAAAGGAAACACGGTTCTGGGAGCTGATGGTGAGAAACAACAGACGACAGAACCAACCGTGCAGACTCGAGTCCGGCCTAACGCACACAATACGGCTCAGTATTAACCTATGTAAAGAATTAAAGAAGGATCTAAACATACGAGCAAGGCACCTGAGACCATTAAATAGGACCAAAACATTTGAAAAATAACCCAATGGACTCTATAGAATGAAAAATGATGATCTTTGGAACTAAAATAAATTTTCAGTGAATGAATTTAACAGAGGTTAGACACAGTTGAATGGAGAATTAGTGAACAGAATGAAAGAGAGAAAATGTAAGTGAGGTTAAGAAACAGAAGACAGAGACAGACAAACCCATCTGTCAGAGCTCCAGAAGGAGACAAGAAAGACAGAGGATAAAGGAGAGGCAGAAGCTGAGATGGTAACAGCTAAACATCTTCTCAAACTGATGAAAGACACAATTCACATGTTCAAGAAGCTCAGCGACGTCAAGCAGGATGAGTCCACGCAGACAGGCGGCAGTGAGCCTGCAGGACACCGCGGACGAGGAGACCAAAGACGTGGTCACGAGGATGTCACACAAGGAAAGGACGATAAACTGACAGCAGCAGCGGGAGCGGGAGGACAGGACGACAGACAGCTCCATGTGCAGAGCGGATGCGAGTGTCCCTCAAGAACCAAATGTCCAGTGACCAGAGTTCTTTCAAAAACAGGAGAGACAAGTATTTAAAAAAAATAGGAACAAATAAAGTTGCCTTCAACAGAAGAACACATTCTTTTATTTTGAAGTTACATTTAATTACTGTGCATCTTTACGGTGCACAGTGTGGTTTTCCCAGGATGAATGCAGTGCCGTTACTGAGAAGCCCTCCTAAAGCATGTACGTCGGATAGAAATAAATTCCACAGAGAACTGATACGCAAGAGGAACAGTGCACAAAGCAGAGGTAAGCACGTGAGCCGACCTAAATGGACGCTGGCTTCATTAAACGGTCACAGCTGCTACCTGTGAGGAAAGGGAAGGCACCATGCAAATACGTGCACCAGAGTCTGAATCGGGAGGAGGCCACCAAAGTCCTAGTGTTCTGAGATCCCCAACTTTCCAGGAAAACTACAAAACTGCTGTGTCATCTTAGACTTCATGAAGTATGCGCAGTAATACTCCAGAGGTATTTTAGGGTAGCTCTAAAATGATACAGATGGTTATAGAACTTAAATAGTTTAAATTCTAGTTAAAAGATAGATTGATTTAAAAAAATATACAAAACACATGTAAAGCATAAGGAACTAGGAGGGTTAATAGCAAGAGAATAGAAAAAGATTAAATGAAAAGAAAGCTGCTGTAATGGGCAAAGACAGCTTTAAGGTCAAATACTGCACAGGTCAAGAGAGCCACTGCATAATTAGTTTTCGGAACAGCTCAACATGCAGAGAGATACGTAATTCTCAACTTGCATGCTTTAATAACAGTCTCAAAATATACGAAGCAAACATTGACAAAATTTTAAAACCTAATGAACAAACTCACCATAATAATGGGAAATGTTAATATTCCTCTTTCTGTAGTTTATTGATAAAAATGACTAGAAAATCAATGATGACATAAAAGATAAACACAATGAACAATCTTGCTGTAATGGGCATATTAGAACACAGCAACTGCACAATTCACCATTACTTTTTTCAAACACACACCAAATATATGTGAAAAGTGACTATTTTGGGTTCAAAAAGGATGTTTCAACAAATTCCAAATGACTCAAATATAGACAATGTTCTCTGACCACAAGCTTTAGAGTCATAAGAAAAAGACAGCTATAAACGTAGTTTGTTTGGGACCAGTGGGTGGCATGGTGGTTAAGGCACTGGATGTTCCCACATGACTGACCACAGTTCAAATCCTGGACCTGGTGGCTTGCTGTCTCACCTTTTGTCTCTCTCTCTCTGTCTCTCTCTCTCTCTCTCTCTCTCTGTGTGTGTGTGTGTGTGTGTGTGTGTGTGTGTGTGTCAAATTAAAAATGAATGAATGAGGGACCAGCAGTTAGCGTAATGGTTATGTCACTGGACTCCCATGTAGTCGACCGCAGTTCAAGTCCTGGACCTGGCGGCTTAAACTCATGCCAGGCATGTGTGCGTGCGTGCCCAAGATCCTGAGAGGAGAATGGAGGAGAAGGGATTGAGGCGTGGCTATCCCCCCTGGGGGGTGATTTCTTGCTTTCTATCTCCTATTTCTCTGTCTCTCTCTATCTTTCTGGCGAGCGCATGTGCCCTATAGCGAAAACCTCTCCCCCCTAAAAAAAAAGAAGAAAAAAAGAATGAATGAATAAAGTTAAATAAATAATTCTAAAAAGTAGTTTGTATGGAAAAGAAAAAAAATCTCTAAATAACTCAATGTTGAAAGATGAAATAATAGTGAAAGTTAGAAAATATTCAGAACTATAGCTAAAATATGTACAAATTTGTAGTCTTCAAAGGGCAATTTATAGCTTTAGATGCTCAAGTAAGGTTGAAAAATAATGAACTAAACATCAAAATGAAGATGCTAGAGAAACAATAACAGAGCAAACCCAAATACACCAGAAGGCAGGAAATAATAAAGATGAGATAGAAGTGAATTAAATAGTAGAAATGAACAAAGTGGTTTTGTTAATACACTTCTTAATATATTGGTTTATATCCAGTAAGTTTGACAGTAAGTTTGAAAACTAAGTTAAATGGACCCAAATCAACCAAACAAAAAAAGATGATCTAAGTAAACCTTTAGTCATTATGAGTATTAGTTCTATTGTCTAACATCTTCCAACAAAGAAAACATGAAACCTAGATAGCTTTGCTGACAGATTCTACCAAACTTCCAAGACAAAATTAATCTTGCCCTAATAACCCAAAAAGCAGAAGACATTCTTCAAATCACTGTAGGAAGCTTGCAATATCCCTACACAAAAATTCAACAATGAAAAAAAAAAAACTGAAAAGCCTAACCTAACAAACTAAAAACAAATTACTCCACAAAAACTCTTAGCAAATCAAATATAGGCATGTATAAAAATGGCAATACTAGTTGACCAGGTTAGGTTATCCTAGGAATGCAAGGTTAGCTTAACTTTAGAAAAGTCAACCAATGTTAATTCACCATTCTAAGAGAAAAGAGAAAAATAATACGATTGTATCAATAGACACAGAAAGGTGCTCGAGAAGAGTCAACATCCATTGATAAAAGCTCTTAGCAAACTAGGACTGGGAAGGAATTTTCTCAACCCTAAAAGGGCTGTCTCTAAAAAATAGTCGAACTTCAGCAAACAGCATACTTAACGGTGAAGAAATGAAACATTCTATTCAACATCAAGCAATGACCAGAGGGCCCCCATCATGACCGTGATTTGAGGTTATACAGAGGTTCTAGCCCAAACACTGAGACAAGACAAAGAAAGAAGAACAGGTATAAGGATTGGAAAAGAAGAAACAAAACCATCATTCTTTGCAGATGATGACGTCTCTAGAACCGCCCCCCCCCCAAAAAAATTCACAGGTAAATTATTAAAGATAGCAGTTATATATTCAAATTAGTTGCATTTATAAACACCAGCAAAATACGGGTAGAAAACGCAAATTGAAAACTAAATGAGAACTAAACATATAAAACAGAATATATCTATAGCAAAACTATAGATGAGAACATTGATAATTCTTAGGGACTTAATTTTAGTGAAGCTGATTGAAGAATGCATACAACACGGTTACATTTACATGAATTCAGATGTTGGCTGACTAAACAATGGATTTTTAGGGGTATACACTTAAGTGCGAAGCACGACAAAACCAAAGGAGTAATAAACACTCAGCTGAGGTAACGGCTCCCTCTGAGGTGCAGGGAGGGAAAGGGGATTGAGACGGACACGCAACGCTAAAGTAACCGATTTCCCCCCCTTAAGCGAGGAGATGGCTACATGGGCGTTTGTATTGGTGTTCTTTATATCTCATTGTACTTTATAAATATGCTATTTATCTACGTAAGGCTCAATACAAACCATTTAAAAGAATCGTCTGCAGAGAACCTACTGCCACCAAGTCCTGGGATTGAAACACCTTGTAGACCACTGTCCCCAGCCTGCCTCTGCCCACAGGATACGCCCCCGTCCTGAGCCCCAGGCCTTACCTTGGCAGGGTTGAGGGCTGTGATGATCCACACACAGTGCGCGTTGTTGTCATACTGAATGGGGAAATTGGGGGAGGTGATGATGCCCGAGGGGCCACGAAGGTGGGCATCGCACATGCGGGCTGCAGAGAGGAGAGGAGACAAGCTTTTCAGCGTAGACTGGGTCCAGCTCCCCTTCCCACCTCCCACGTCCAACCCGGAAGTGATGGAATCACACAGCCCCACCCCAGAGATAGCCTTCTGCTTCCTGTGTCCTTCCTCCAAAGCTCTCAGCAGGCTCACAGGGATGTCAGTGCAAAGAACTCTGGGTAGGGGCAGGGGCACTGGGTCGGGGCAGGGGTACCAGGTAAGGGCAGGCTCCTGCTGCTCCACAGGCAGCGATGAACTTCCACGGCAGGCTAAGCAGTGCCCCCGGTCCTCCCTCCCACCAACTCCCAGAGACAGGGCAGCTCATCCCATTAAGACACTGTCCGGTGGGCCCTGGCAGCCAAGGGTCTATGGAGCAGACACCCCTTGCTCTGGGGCCTGTGTTTCCATTTGCCTCCATTTCTCCCTTCAGCTTTGTGCTGCTCTGGACCCAAGTCTGCCTAACTAGGAGTCTCGTTCATTCTAGGTCCTGCCGGCCCTCAATCCCTCCCCCTCTGCGACTGCTCAGGCCTCCTGAGGTAGACCCTCTGGATGTCCCTGTCAAGGCCACCCTGTCAGGTCTCAGTGTTTGTGCCCAGGGACTGTGCAAGGCTCCTGCCTCAGCCCAGTGCCAGGCACCCAGAGTGCTTTCTGTGCCAGTCAAGTCCTTCCCAAACCCTTCCCCACACTCAGCTCATGCCGGAAACAGGCTTTTGACTGGAAGCATAAAGATTCAAGGTGAATTAGAAGAAGTGTTCTACTCAAGTAGATATAAAGTGTTATCAATCACAGCTTAATCTAATTAAGCTCTTTAAAATAGCTTCTAAACTAATTAGATTAAGTAGTGATTGATAACAGTTAAGGTACTACATTGTACCTAGGTGTTTGGTTTCTTTGCAAACGTGTGCTTTAGTTCTAGCCACCTCATCCTTCAACGTTAGTGCCCGGCTCTCCTGACCAAGGGTTCTAGGCGCTGTTCTGTCGCTGCCCGCATGGCCGTTCATCCTAATTGTAGGCAAAGCGCCGACCGGCAAAGACGGTGCGCAAACCCAACAAGCCTAAGTATATAAAATGAAGGTGGTGTCAAACCTGCTTCCCTCTGATGGGGCCAATGCCCTAGGGCTCCTCTCCGTGTGGGGACAGGGCCATGACAAAGCTTTCCCAGGAAACCCCTCCTTGGAGGGCCTGGGAAGCAGGTGCCAAGCGCCAGGCGTAACGGATCCCTCCTCATGTCACGCACGCACTCCCGTGCTCATTCATCCCAGCATTTACTGAGTGCCTCTAATGGGCCAGGCAGAGTGGAGGAAGGGAATGTCTGACACAGTCCGTCCTCCTGAAGGACCGTGGCAAGCGGAGGAGAGAGGTGTGAGAACATTTACGACCACACAGAGCAAGTGCTGTCCGAGTGCTCTGCGCAAAGCGCACTGGGTCGGAATCGCTGCCTCCTCTCTTCCAGCCTGTCACCTCCCGTGAGGAACCCCCTTCTGGTGGCTCATCCAATTCCTGCGCCTTTAGGGTTTGCTTCTTCCTCACTGTGAGCTCAAACCCTCGTGAAGCCCTGCTGCCCACTCTCTCGTGGGCTGAGAAATTCCTGGGCTTCAGTTTTGTGCTTGACACAACGGAGTCTGGAGGCAGTGTGGCATGGCTGGGGTCAGGCTGGGGTTTACCAACTCAATCTTCTGGATCTTATCCATGTGGTGGACTAAGCCCGGGTAAGCCGGAAAGCCTGTCCGATTTTACTTCGTCTGTGAAAGGGAGTGAGTGACACCACTTCACTGAGGTGTGGTGAGGATGAGATTGTGAGGGCTGGGGCCAGCAGGTGGCACGGTGGTTAAGGACACTGGACTCCCACATGGCCGATCATGGTTCAAGTGCCAGACCCAGCGGCTTACTTTCTCACTTTCTCTCTCTCTATGTGTTCCTCTCAGGGCAAATTAAAAACAAATAAATAAATAAAGTTAAATAAAATAATTCTAAAAAGGAAAAAAAAAAGAAATTGTGAGAGCTTTGCCTGGGGCTGGTGACACTGTTAATGTGCAACACAGAGGACCTGGGCCGAAAACTCCAATGCCTCCGTTCTGTTCTCCACGCCAATGATTTCTCTCAAGTCTAATGATCTTTGTTCAATCTTTCCTTTATGAGAAGGTGCTTCAGAAAAACTCATGGGAAAAAAAGTATGTATGCATTTCAATATTTTCTGCACTAAAATAAACTTGTATTTTAATTCCACTAAACAGATTAGAACAAGACACTAAACCAAGACCACGATCCTCTCCCATCTCTGCAGAGGGCCGATGGACTCAGAACTCTAGTCCTGCCAAGAATTCTTATAAATCTCTACCAGCCATCTCACACCCCTTCTGGAAAGTCAGATTTTGCTGTCAAAAGCCCTCAGCTTTAGACTTAATTAATCTTGCACTGTTTCCAAGAATTCGAAGATATTTTCAGTTTGTTGAAATATGCTGAAGGTAATTAGAGAGAACAGGTCAAAAAGGCATTTACCTGTTTAAGGGCTTAGAGTGGTGTAATTAAAATATTACAGTCCACAGACAGTTAGCATGGAGGACCTAAAATAGGTTCGGGATGGAGCATTAGTTACTTTCTCCCTCGGCTGCCTGGACAAGGTCGGAGGTTCCGTAGACTCATAGGCAGAGGCAGCCCTGAGCAGCCAGCTCCTGGGGCCCCACCCACACATGGGACGCTCACGGCTGCAACCCAGGAACCCAGGGAGGCTGGTGGGACAGGCAGCGCTCAGGCTGTCCAAGTAAGCGAGCGGAGTGCCTTCATGTTTCCTTTTGCCTTTCCCATCAGACGCCCTGGTGAGCAGTTCCTGGAAGAGGCTCCTCTGCGACCTTCCATGCCTGTGCTCTGTAGTCACCCTTGCCCCTCCTCTGGACGTCAAGGACAATCACCCAGGGGAGCGTAGGGTGATACCGCCTGGACCCACGACCATTCTGGCACTAACCTGGCACCAAAATCTGCTCCAGGGCAGACGCCTCCAGCCCGCCCTGTTCCCTGCTGCCTCCCCCAGCTTCTCCCGCTATTGTTCTTCCTGCCCCACCCTTTCCACTGTCCTCTGGAATCACCCCCCCACCAGTCCCTTTCTCAGGCAAACAGCTGCCTCCCTGTAGCTGCGACACCTCCCAGAACCTCCTGCTCCAACTCAGGCCACTACTTCCTCTGCGGCCCTCTGCAGGGGAGATCTTGCTTCCACACTCCAGAACTTCTTCCTATAAGTGTTTGCTGAACTCCGAGAAGAACTCATCTTGCCAGATTCATGGTTCACCACCATAATTCAAGGTTTACCCCAAGTAGTGCTCTCCCTTCCTCTGCTTCCCTCCCTGACTCCTGGCAGGGCTACGTCAAGCGTCAACACTTAACTGGGCACCATGAGCTCAGGGGTACCCTTTAGTCATAACACTTGACCTCTCTAGAGTATCCGACCCACCCACCCTCCTCTCGTCAAGGCTTCCACTCTGTCGACACCTGTACTTTCTCTTTACTCATCGACTCCTTCTGCCTTCTCTTCGTCCTTCCCCAACTTAGACCGCGTGGTCCACCATGATCATCATTTCTTGCAAATCCTCCTAAGCCCCTTGATTCTTTCCCTTTTAATCAGTTGTCTAGAAAACGTCAATTGTGGATGAACCCCTCCACCTACATTCTCCATACGTGCTTCCAAGAGCTGAACTTTGGTGGAAAATGAAATCGCATGAGAAGGGGCCAGCTGGTGGTAATGCAACTGGCTCACGTAGGGAAGGTCCTGAGTTCATGTCCGGGGACTGCCCTGAGCTGTCTAGATGCATGTGGAGACCATGATCCGTTGGGTCAGCCATGGATCATGGCGGAGGGAGGGATGCCTGTCTCTTTGCCTGTTTCTTTCTTTCTCATTAAATAAGTCAGTCAGTCACAGAAGTAGAAACTATAAATTATGATAATCCATCTTAAAACACCCCGGCCAGTTCCCAGTCACTGTACCGTTTAGCTCTATTAGCGTATCTTGTTCTGCTCACGGACCCTTCCACGCCTCCCAAGACCCTCGGTCCTCACCCTTCCTCTCCCCTACCTTGCCCTAGGCAAATGGCCTGGCCTCGCTCTCTCTGGAAGACACAGACTCCCTCTGGCAGCACGCCCTCTCTCCCACGCCCCACGTGGGATTCTGTCTGCTCTGTGCTCATCTTTTTCTTCCCTCTTGTTCCAACTGAGGGTCGGCCCCTTCTTTCAGAGATAGCCCCGTCCCATTCCAAAAGCAACCACGTGTGTGACCGGTCCCAGAACCCTGCTGGCCTGGGAACAGGGAAAGGCCGGCTCTCACGTCTTAACTCTCTCCCCTCCGCTGCTTTGGCTCCCCGCCGAGTACTCTGGATTCTGTGCACCGTGTCCTACGTCACGGGCCCCTCCAGCCTTTCGGCTCCCTATTTCTTCCCGTCTATGGAGCCCCTCCGATCCTTCTTCTTTTACAGCTCAGTCTGGACCTCACACCACTCACCAATACCTTCAGCTCAACACTCTCGTATCTGCTTAGCAAAATGCCTGCTTGTGATCAACTCTGCCGTCACCTTTCTATACCTAGTCCTGGGGCAGCCAGGAGAACCAGGCATCACCGTGGATTCGTGGCAGCTCCCGGGCATCACCACGGATTTGTGGCACCTCCAAGGTGTCACCATGGATTCGTGGCAGCTCTGAGGTGTCACCGTGGATTCTTGGCACCTCCGAGGTGTCACCACAGATTCGTAGCATCTCCAAGGTGTCACCACGGATTTGTGGCATCTCTGAGGTGTCACCACGGATTCGTGGCATCTCCGAGGGATCACCATGGATTCTTGGCATCTCTGAGGGGTCACCACAGATTTGTGACAGGATGACTGAGGTATCAGCATAGACCCGTGGTTTGCCATCCCAGGCTCAGGTTCAGCCAAGTCCCCCCCCCACTTCCTGTACCTCCCTCACTAATCCTCTGCAGCACTAACCTGGAACGTTCGACTGCACCAAGCCACTTCCCTTACATCCCTCTGGAGCGCCTGGCCCTACGGACACTCTGCTCTGGGTGAAACTCATGTTCTCTGGCTCCATAGGTTCCACTCGGATTTCTTCCTTCCTCTGACTGACCCTTCTCAGCACCCCTCTCCTCCACCAGCTCCTTATAAGAAGCAGTAAAACCTCAATCGAGGGCGCCTGTGAGTTCCTTGCACGTGGACTGTAAGTTTTCTTAAGTCTTAAATTTTGTAAGTTTAAAATTTTACCAAAAGGGAAGGAGTGGAAGAATTGTTCCAGATAGTTCATTCCGATACACTGACTCTGAAGGTTTTTGTTTTTTGTTTCTTGTTTTTCCCAGAATTTTGCCAGAGGGCCCATGCATATGCCAGAGAGGAGAGAAACAGAGAGAGGGAAAGCGAGAGATCTTTCCCCGCCGGAGGGCATAGTTACACCAGAACCCCTTTTTCATTCTCCTCTTGGGATTTTGGACCCATGCGCACACACACATGCCCAGTGTGATTTTTCAAGCTGTTGGGTCTAGGACTTGAACCATGGTTGGCCATATGGGAATCCCGCTGCCTTATCCACCACATCTCCTGCTGGCCCCAGACTGACGGGCTTTCAGGTGCAATTTGCAAGTAGAAAAGGCAAAGCCTTCAGACTCAGGGTTTGAATCTCGGTTCGATTAGTTTCATCCTCTTGGGCAAGTTGGCTGACCACCGTAAGCTTTGGCTAAACATAAAATATGGTTATTGCTATTTTCTTCAAAAAGAAATTATGAAAAATGCCTAGTGTAATGTTTTATATGAGTACAGACAGCTTAACAAATGGGAGTTTTGTCATTAGCACATATAGGTGAGGGACCTGGGGACATCCTCAGGGCCGGAGCAATGGGGCACGGGTTCTAACACAGTTGGTGGGAGGTATCTCAGGAGAATATGGGGATGAGGGAGAGGAGGGGAAGGGAGAGGAGAGGAGGGGAGGGGAGGGGAGGGGAGAAGGAGAATAAGATGAAAGCAGGGTCTTCTGATCCTGTTTGAGGAAGCTGGTGTTTGATCCTGTGTTTGAGGACAATGGTCCAGGGAGGGCCACCAAGAAGGACAGCCTCCTGCAATGGTCATGGCATTTATTTCCGCTTGTTTGCAAACACACACACACGCACACACACGCACATACATACACACACACGCACGCAGTGGGTTTAGGCACAAAGGGGAAATAATACCCGGTTTCCTGTTACTGACTTAGTGAGTCTCACTGCAGTCTGGGGCTGCACTGACTTAGTGAGCCACACTGCAATCTGGGGCTGCACTGACTTAGTGAGTCTCACTGCAGTCTGGGGCTGCACTTAGCCCTTAGCCACCTTCAGCGCCAGCTCACGGTCACAGGGAGCAGCCATCCTGGCTGTCGCTTTGGGCCTCTCGTCCCTGCACCAGTGGTTTACAAAGTGATCCCTGGAACCCCGGGGTACCAGGGCTTAGATGCCCCCAAGAGTGGTCAGGAAGGGGGTGACTTCAAATCCCCACCCCCACTTCAGATAGAGCCGTGCCTCCTGTCTGATCTACGTACTGGGCTTCGACAGAGGCTGACTGAAATATGAGGCCCCTGATGTAAAGGAGATCCGACAAACCTTGAGTCAGTCCACCTTTACCTGGAGCTGGAGAGAATTGGTTTAACAGGCTTCATGTTACTCTCAATCTCTTTTTTTAAATTTTTAAAAATTCTTTTTCTTTTTTTTTGAGAAGTTTTTGCTATAGGGTGCGTGTGCTCTCCAGAAAGACAGAGACAGAGACAGAGAAAGCGAGAAATCAGCCCCTGGGGGGAGGGGGATGGCCACACCACAATCCCTTCTACATTCTCCTCTCGGGATCTTGGGCCCGCACGCGCACGCGCCTGGTGTGAGTTTAAGGCACTGGGTCCGGGATTCGAACTACAGTCAACTACATGGGAGTCCAGCGACATGGCCATTATGCCAACTGCTGGTCCCACCCTCAATCTCTTTATCTGATCAAAATTTTCTAGGAGTCAAGCTAGAAGCTTTTTCTGGAGGGACGGAAAGAAAAGAAAGGCTCATGAATTCCTAATTGCAAATTCCAAGATGAGGGGACAGCCCCTACTATTCATTCATTTCAGTCACCGATTCACTCATTGAGGTAGGTCTCCAACATGTGCCAAGAACCTATTATTTGCTAGGCCCCATGTTTTAGTAGAATGAATTGTGTGGAAAAATGAGTATTTAAAATCAAATCATATTTTGAATGCATTAGAGGAAAAATAATACCACTTTGCATGATGGCCACTCCTTTTTAGAACAGGGTCTTTTTGGTAACCTGCTCCTCAGTAAGGCTGCTAGGAAGTGAAAGAGTTATGTCTCCTATTCGTAAAGCAGGGCTCATCTAAACTCTCTTAAAAATCATAACTAAAATAGTCATTGTAATTAATTAAAAATAGAAGATTTTCAAAGAAAATCTTTAAAACCTGCCAAATAAAAAGACTCTTAAATCTAATATTTATCTCATCCCTTGGCCTTCAGGGAAGCCCAGGACAGAGCCTTAAACTCAATCCCAAGAGCCTCTTTCTCTCTCTTCCCTCACAGCAGACAACGGGAGAGGAAGGACAGAAGAGGGCAGGTGGTTAACCGGTGCTGAGAATCCCCTCTCCCAGGCCAGCGCCGCTCACTTTTGTAAGGTGACTTGCTCGAATCGCACAGTCACTAGGCTGAGGGTGGGGGCGGGGGGCGTGCTCTGTCCACAGAGGAGGGTCTTGTGGCTAGGAAAGATGCGGGAGCCCGCCCAGCGCCAGCAGTGTACAGGTGGCAGAGTTGTGATCTGGATCAGTCTGCACGTCACTGCGGTGTGGCTGCACGAGACGGGGTACGGGCTGCTGAAAGAACCCGCAGCCGCTGCAGGCAGAGGGCTGCCCGGGGCTTGGCAGCTACGTGCCGACTGCCCGGTGGGCTTCGTTAATCAAGTGTGCACACCAGCCTCGTGGTCGCACTGGCGTCACTTCTAAATGAGCACTTCCAAGCCTCCGGCCACTTCTAGTGCTCAAAGTGATGCCGTGGATAATGTCCGATGGCAGTGCCTTTCAGTGGTCAAAAAGACTACTTTTTAGGGGTACCCTGCTAAAAAGTGAAGATTGTTGGTTATGAGCCCTGGTTTCCCGCACGTCACAGTAGCCGAGGATGGAATGAGCCCACCGGGGTGGGTCACTGGGGGAGGCTTGAGTGGGGCACACACGTGTCCAGAGAAAAAGAACACAGCCCTCGGCTCCAGATGTAACTTCCTAAACACCAGCGCTTCCCCACCCTGCGCGTGTTGGTATAAACACCCATCATCACTCAGAGAACAGACAGAAGGCATGGCTTTTCTGGGCTCTCAAAAGCATTCCTGAAATGACAGATTGGCCAAGGGTCCCCTGATAGTCCATGGCAGCCTGCACAGCTGGTATCTTGGCTCCCCGGAACTGGAGCGGTGTGCTAACCCTTCATTCAACACGTGTAATGGAACATCTACTGTGGCCAGGTCCTGCTCTAAGCAGTGAAACAAAATGGAAGTCCTGGCCCTCCAGAGCTCATAGTCTAGCAAGAGGATATGTGCTCCCCTTCTAGGGCCCCCCGTCCATAATGAGTTTACACACCCACAACTGTGCGGTGTCCTCGTGTCAACCTGAGGAGGGGATGCTGGTCACTACACTGTACTATTCACCACGGCGATCTGAGCTACAGGAAAGAACATGGGCCAGGGAAAACAGGGCATTCTTCCAGTTGCTGAGAGTTATACCCAAAATTATTTAGTGTTTGATAAAAAAAAAAAAAATAGTAGCCATGGAGAATCCTTGGAACAATACAGCTCAAATCAGTAAAAATGCAAAGCACTTTATAACTTGTGGATCAGGGCCACCGCAAAGTTGAGCGAGGAGGAATTTACTTGAAAGACATTTTCATGATCTTCCAGATCACTTATGGACACATTAAAGGAAGGGGACGGGTCTCAGTGACAGCTTTGCCCTTGCTGGTATAATGATGATCTGAGCTATTTTCCTCGTAGGCTGCGTGAATTTCATCCCGATGTGTGTACCTGGGAAAAGTGGACAATCTCCTCCCTACGCTGGAAAGATGCAGAACGTAGCTTTGCAGTGGACGGTGCACCTCCTCTTCCACAGGGGCGCTCGCAAGAGCACCTGTTGCTTGGAAAGGTCATCTAACAGCCTAGCGCTCAGGGGGGCTGGGCTGGTGCCTTGGGAACGAGGGCAGGGGCTTCTCTACAACAGAAGCAGCTTCTGTCCAGCCCCAACAGGGCAAAGCACTGAGGCCTGATATCTTAAGATTATCGGGGGAGGCGGGGACAGGTCAGCTCAGACTTGGTTCATGAGCTACCTGGCAGTGTGGGCGGCTGGGCCCTGGAGCACAAGGTACCCACGTGTAGAGTGAGATGAATTCCACAGAGCAGGCCATGTCGCTCTCACATAGCTAAGCGCATTCTCCCGGAAGTGGCAGGTCTGTTCACTGCAGAGTGTGGGAAAAGAATCGAGGGCATTGGGACAGAGGGCTGTGGGCGTTCGTGTGTTATGACGGGGGGGGCGAGGGGGGTTACAAGGTGACAGTGTGAACGGTGGCCTCCTTCCCTCTCTGTGCAATGAGCTCACACCCTTCTTCGTGCGTGCCTCCCACTAGGCTGCAGGTCCACATGGGACAGGAACTGTGTCTACCTCCCTGCTCTGTGTCCCCTGATTCCAGCACAGGCCTTCACGTGGAGAACGAGCTAGATACATATGTTAACTGGTAAATAAATGCAGGACCCAAGGCTCAGGGCGCAGCATGGAATGGGGTGCGCCAATTTGGAAGGGAGCCTGGTTCTCTGGGAGCTGGGCTCCGTCCTCCATGGCCAGCCTCCCTTCCCCGGGGCACCCTCACCTCGGCAGACTGGCCTGTGGTCGCTCCAGGCCGCAAACATGTCGCTCACTTTCATACAGGTGATGCGCTTGGATCCTTGCAGGTCATAGCCCTCGTTGCAGGTGAACTGGACGCTGGATCCCAACCTGGGAGACAAGGTGTGGCTGTGAGCTCGGTCCCCTCGGTCCCGGGCTGCCGAGCCCTGGCCTGGGTCCTTCCAAGAAGCAACACGCAAAATGGGATTTCTCCCCTTGGCCTCCGATCTCTGCTCCACAGTTTTATTAAAACTTAAAACCTTCATTGGGAGGAGCATCTGTTTTTCATCTTATTTTTGGGGCCATTTAATGGTTTTAGAATTGAGTTAAAAGGTGACTTTGGGAGTGAATAGTGACCCTCTGTGATATACATCAGGAGGGCCACCCGGGGATGGATAATGCTACTACATTTTCATGAAAAGGCAGGATTTGGGAAGATGTCTTCATAGTTAGAAACTCTGTAAAACTCTCTCCCTCAGGGCCTAGGGTGTCCTGGACCAGCTCGGGCTCCAGGGGCCAGCTGGTACTTCACTGCAAGGGTGGCAGCCCCTTGCACCCTGGGTCCGCAGCTTTGCTGCGGACATGGAAGCCTGTGGTCCCCCAGAGCAAGAGCACTGCTCCAAGGACTGGAGTGTCCAAGGCCACGTCTCCTCCAGAAAGCATCTGCTCCTGTCCACACCATCCTCTCCCTTCCACTTCCAGGAAGGCCCTCCTCTCCCCCCAGCCAGGCCACCCGCCCCCTGCAGTCAGGAAGTTCCCAAGTCAGTCTTACCTGAAATCCGAGCCTAGTCTTTTGCCCCTTTCGGGTATGCCAGGATCTGGACACATATTATGTCCTTGGGACACACCAACCTGAGTTACTACAAGGCAAAAAAACAGCACATACAGAGACGGGTCATCACAGGAGACGCCGGCGGGGCCGCGCTGTCTCAGGGCGGGAGGCGAGGCAGAGACAGAGGAAGCCCTGCTCTGCGGGGGCTACGGGGTGGTTGGGGTCCACCCCCGGGTTCCTGAGGGTGCCAGCTAGGGAGCTGCTTTTGACAAATTCCTCTGTGAGCAAAGTCCAAGTGAAATTCATCAAGAGCGTGCGGCTCCGTGGCACGGCCCCACACCAGGCCAGAACGGGACTCTCCCCCCTTGCTTCCGAGCTGGGGTGGAGAATCTAGATGACATGAGCCCCCCAGCCCCAGCCCCACATGGAGAAATGACTCAAAGGAAGTGAAATAAAAGGTGATGCATGGTCAGGAGCGGTAAAGAATGTAAGAGAAAGCTGCAGCCTGAAGGCCAGCGCGGCCACTTCCGAGAGAACCTTTCCCAGACGGCAGTAACCAGAGCTCCCGCCCCAACCTGCCAATGCCACTAGCCATGGGCGCGGAGCGGAGATGCCACCCGTGGTGGCTCAGCAGGTGGTGTGACGCTCTGTCGCTGGCCAACGCGAGTCCTGTGTACAGACACCAACACACGCACGGTCGCCTTGGCCGGAGGAGTGTCTCAGTCCGGGCGGCGGGGACACACACAGTGGGAGGGCGGGCAGCCTTCCGGCCCTGCCTTGTCATCGTTCTCGAATGCCCACACTGATGGGGCTGGGACCCCTCGCACCACCGGACTCCTGGCCTGGATGACGACCGGGAGCAGGAGTCCCAGTCGGGGGCTCACAGATCCCAGGACTCCGGCAGCGACCCCTGGGTGAGCGGCTCGGGGTGTCTGAGCAGCAGTCCCCAAGTTCCCACTTCCCTCCCATTGCACTCAGCATCCCATTATATGAGCAGGTGCGCCCTCGCCCCCCTGCTGTTCCCTCCTGGCACACAACGAACATTCTCTGAGCACGTGCTGTACACGAGGACCTAGCGTGGTGCCACAAGGGACGCCAAGGGCAGTTGGATCTGGCTACTGTCCTCAAGGAGCTTCCCGCTGGGCGGAGACATGAGAAGTGGAAATGAGCGGTAGAACCACGGGAGGGATGAACAATGCAGCCACAGGGACGTTCAGAGGGAAGGCCAGTTTACACTGCCAAGAGAAGTGAAGGGGGCTGCCCGGAGTAGGTGGCATTTAACGAGCGCCTTTCGAAGTGGTAGATTTGGACACACGGTGACAGAGGTGACAAAGACAGACAGATGAGCATGGCGAGTGAGAAGGAAACGTGGACACAATGGGTGGGAGGGCCACGAGCGGCAAGGCAGAGGGGAAGGCGAGGTTCCGGCTCTGACGGGGAAGGGGTTTGGTCTGACCCTGAACGTGATGGGAGCCACCAAGGAGGCCCGAGTGGGAGAAGGGCATGATGAGGTCTGGCTTGCTCAGGGAGAGGCCCGGTGCTGTGAGAGCTCGGTGACCATCCAGCTGCTGGGCATGAGAGCCTGGCGTGGGAGTAGTGGGGTGAAGAATCGCGGTGCTCACGGGGCGAGGGCGTAGGAGAGGGAGCAGAGGCCCCGCGGCCTGGGGACTGTGGGGATGCAGCTGATCTGACAGAAGTAGGGAAGGTGGGCTGTCTCCTTCAGACCCACTGAGACAAAAGCCCACTTCCTTAGAGGCCTGCACGGCCTTGTTCGCACCCCAGGTAGCCCGGGCTACGCTGGCCAAGGGGGCCCGAGGACCTGGACAGACCGCATGCCCAAGCCTGACAGTGCCATCCTGGGCACACACCACTGGTGCAAGGCCTCCTGGGTAGCCTCTTTTTTCTCCAGTACTCCAGGTGAAAGCCAGTCATCCCCTGTGGACACATGTCCCCTTCTTTGCCAAGTGTCCACCTCCAAAGCCTTCACATCCTAAACGTAATGAAGTCATCGCTCCCGCCTGTCCAGACCCTTCATGGTAGGAGAGTGAGACGCGGCGAGCTCCCGCCTTCCGGGCCCCTCCGTGTCTCGTAGGCTATGGAAGGACGGAGATAACTGGGCCTCCAGTTTACCCCGGTGGGTAGGAAGCAGTGAGGAAGCTCTGTCCTCAGAAGGTGAGGATGACAGGCCTGAGCTATACAGGTTGGGTCCCCCGGAGTACGCCACCTGCTGTCTCCCCATAGCCTGGGTGAACCGTCACCCGGAGTATGCCACCTGCTGTCTCCCCTACAGCCTGGGTGCCCCACCCCTGCTGCAGACTGCCCAGCTGAGCACACCCCTTCTATAGGTCCTGCCTACAGGCCACACCGTCCGCAGTCCCATCTGGGAACCATGCGGGCCCGCTTAGCATAGGAGGAAGAGCCAGCAGCTTCCTGTTCCTTCGCCCTCCTCTCATTCGGTGTCAATGCCACCCAGCAGCAGACAGAGTGGAAGACTGACAGACGAGGATACGGCTGGACCAGAGCGAACCGAGCGTGGCAAAGACCCCACCAAACCACAGCCCTGACGTGCAGCCCCCAAATCCCACCCAGGCCCCGCTACCCAGCCCATAAGAAACCAGCCCCAGCCGAGGCTCAGGCAGAGGCATAGGATGGTACAGACCAGGCGGGGACGCAGCTCACGCCCGGCCAGCGCCCTCCTCCTGGAAGGACTGAGCAGGCAGCGGCAGTCACAGGAGGAGGCCCCCCAGGACATAGGCAAACTTCAACCTCGGTGACCAGTTCCCTGTCTGAATTATAGAGGCAAGAGGCGATTCTCCCTTTCTTTGTGAAATTCCAACCTTTACTGCCCATTGAAAAGCAGCTGCTTGTACGCATAGCACTGATTGGCTGTCAGCTCCTGAGGGACAAGACCAGAGAGTCATCCTGACCCCGCCCAGGAGGGCCCCTGTGGCGAGGAAGGAGCCAAGACACACTCAGAAAGGCAATGCCCTCCACCCAAGTGAAGGCGGCCCCAGACAGGGGTGGTCAGGGCCGGTGGCTGGGGCCCACAAACGCAGGCACTGTCTGACGAAGGCAGTAAGCGGGGCCCACGCCCCCCTGAGGTCCAGGACAGCTGTCCACAGGGAATTTGGGCAATTTGGGCAGAGCACAGACACCTGCAGACACTTGGCCACCTGCTTCCGGCCGCTTCAGTCACAGCCCAGCCACTTTCAAGGACATCTCGGGAAGATGACCGATACCTGCTTGGTAGAGGGACGTGGATTTTTCCAGGAAGTGCCCGCATTATTTCATCACAAAAAGGTGTTCTTCGACTCTGAGGGGGTTTCTCTGAGCATCTCTGAGTAACTATGAAAACCACAGACCCCATCTCCAGAAAAACGCACCCACACATCACGGGTAATTTTCAGCTAAGTCCTAGGCCAAGAAGCCCACTCTGGGCTCAATTCCGCCCTGGGGAGGAAGGCAGACGAGGCAGCTCAGGCCCTGGCGTCTGGGTGACATGGCCCCCGATGACGCACTGGGGTGGACACTAGGCCCCCACATCAGGACAATCTCCGTGTGCCTGTGGCTCTCAGGCAGACTATGATGAACTGTGCCAGCGTCAGTCCAGGTGGTCTCCTGTAGCCACAGAAAGAAAGGGCCCAGCGGGTGGGATCGCGGCTTGAGCCTTTGCTTGGCGCAGATTCCTGCCCTGCGCCGGGACTGCAGTCCATGGCCAGTAGCACCCCGTCTCCACTCGAGACTTGAGAGACCGGAGGAGATCCCACACCAGGCTCAGTTCAGGAGAGTCCAGTGGCCAGCATGCCAGCCCCTCCCTCCACACTGGACCCTTGCAGTTCTCAGACTCTGGCAGAAGGAACTTGTCCTCACCGAGGGGATCTTCCTGGGCCCACACAGAGGGCCCCAGCTGCCCCCCAGCCCCGGGCCAGCAGGATCCCCACTCTAGTCCTCTCTGCCCGCCAGGCCCAGAGCCCCTGGAGAACACCACTAGGCACGGCCCTACTCCC